TTTACACAAACTAGGTACCTAATTCCACCTCTGGTTTCTCACCATTGGTATTATTCGTTTGATTTATGAGATTGTTCACTGTGAGTTATCTTTACAGTTTACACTGATTATCATTCATTTTTAGATACTATGTAAAAACAAAGTCTTAGTGGTAAATTAACAAATAGATGAAATAAAAACACGTTCAAAGCAATGCAATTTACATTTCACCCTCATTCTTCCTGCTAAGGATATTGTTATGATACCGTAGGTGTATTTGCATGAATGAGAATTGATAATATAGATCATAACAAGGAGTGTTTGTTTGTGTGTCTTTTCTAACAATTCAGTTAACTTAAGATCTTGTAACGCAATACATTTCTCCATTCAATGTAAGCAGTGTTCCAAAAAAATAAATTGTAGATATGGTTTGAAATTGTAAGCGATGGGGTCATTTTTTTAAAAAAGATATACACTTGTTACTGATATTAACATATTTATATGATAAAGTATTCTATAGAACACTTGCTCTTTATTATGAGGATTTCCTCAGAAATTATGCAATAAATGAACACTGCATATATAGCATATATCATATTCATATGTTAATTTCAAGCTTAAGATGATGGTTCATTCTAAGTATTTAATAGACTTAATAATAAGCCAAGTCGACAATAGTCAATAATGATTAATCAATGTTTAACAAATTTACATACCCATAAGGATTTAAGGACCAGTTCATCCTCTTCCTTTCTAAAATATCTTAAAACATTTATCTTAATTTCTTCAAATAATGTTAAATGCTCGATACTAAAGCTGTTGAAAATAAAATGCACTTAACCTTCAGCACTCTTTAAATTTTGATGATGATTAATTTTAAATCTACTTTAATCGTTTAAAACTTCTTTCAAGACAAATAAATAGAACTTACCAAAAAGTAGCTTCTAATATTTATGTAATTATGAGAATTTTCCGCTTGTTCTTCTGCTGTACTGTTCAGGAAATATAAAGTTGATAAATGTAAAGAAATAAAGCAATTGAACTACAAAACTTCATATATGGTCAGAGCTGACAGCAATTGTGATCTCTTCCCGAAAGGATTTATCTTCTCGAAACACTACCCTATTAAACATCATTACCCATTACCTGCAAGTCACAAAATAAAGAAGCAAGACAGTCCTTCAAGCTCTGTCAAATTTTCCTTTAGTAATTACGCAAGGATTTAAAAATAGTTTTCCTATGAAAGTTATGTTAAGTACTAACCTATTAAAACCAAGGCCATCTATTCAATATAAAATGTCCTTAAGACCGAAACTGAAAATGATGTATTCTACTGAAAGCTATATTCGTATGTATGTATCTAATTACCTCGTGCACATGATATTGGCATGTTAAAGTTATAAATCATCAGTTTCTAAGAAGTATTTTTTTAAAATTTATTTTGAAAGAACAAGATAATGTGAAAACTTATACAAGGAAACAATTCATGGGAAAAACGTAATAAGTAAATTGTCGTTCAATCGTTTATTTCTATTCATTTATGCTTTGAGATTGAATACTGTTCGTTATCTCCATATCCTTCCTCATATATGAAAATTTCAGCATAATAATAATAATAATACTTTATTTAAAGCCCAATTAGTGCAAGCAATAGTCTTCCTCGGGGCCCTGTATGCATGTATAGGACAATTATGACTACAGCAGTACTTTTATCAGAAAAAAAACAAGTAGGTTACGTAGGTGAAATATATTTGAAAAAGAATATTATTAAAAGATAGAAACACGTTATAAATTAAGAAATTTTGCGTCCATTAATGATACGGTTTTCTACATTTTTACGGAAGGATTGTGCAGTTGGTGAACTACGTACATGTAGTGGCAATATGTTTTATAAATGAACGCCTGAATATTGAAAAGAATTTTTAAACATATTTATTCGATAATTTGGAAGACTAGGGTTATAATTGAATTCAGAACGTAAAATATAATTAATAGAGAAATGAATTCAAAGCAGCCTCTCAGATGATCGCGAACCATTCCTTGAAGTGTTTTGTAAAGCAGTATGTATTTGTGAAAGTATATCTATATAGTCAGCCAATCAAGCTTTATAAAAAATGATGGAGCATCTGGTGCCACATCTAATATAATTGTGTTGCTCTTTTGTAATTTTAAAACTCTGTCTTTGCAAGCACCTGGAGCATTGCCAGAAATAGTCAAACATTCATTGAAAGAATGCAGAATATATGCTTTCCTTGTGTGTTATGGGAGAATTTCTTTTTAATTTTACGTTATGTAAAAGATTATATGTTAAAGACTTACAAATAGAATCAATATGTTTATTATAGCGCAATGCAAGATCAGTTCTGTATTTTAAAAATGATTGAAGGCAATATTAAAACCACATAAAAACTTAAAGAGTACTGTGGGACAATATATTCAAAAATTGATGTGAAGAAAATGTAGATACTCAAAAATTCCAAAAAAAACATTCGGACAATTCTAAATCATAAGATTTTACCATAATCAATAGCTTAAAACGTACGACTTTTCAACTTTATACACAACCATTCCCTACGATAAATTAAAGTCTAGGCTTTTTGACATCATTGACAGCTGCTTTTCCAATAAAAATAGGACTCCTTTTCCTTACCTGGTCATTGGTTATTCACAAATTTATTTTGTTGAAACACATTTTGATTGCACACACAACTATTCTGAAGATGACATCAAAAAGATGATTCGATACACAAGAGCATGCTCTACATATGAACAATTTCTAAAATGAGGTAAATTATTGACAAGCAAGTTGATGAAACAATAGTATCAGCAGTCTCGTTTTAAGTCATCCTTTCGTAAGTTCTATCGTCAATACAATGACCTTGTCAGCAAATACAATTTATCATTGAGTCAAATGCTGACTGACGTTTTTCTCACCAATTGTTAGTCCATTATTTATACACTGAATTTTTCTGTTATTTCCTGATTATGACAAGGGGCACACGGCGGGTGTGACCGGTCGTCAGAGGATGCTCACTCCTCAATGGCACCTGATCCCACCTCTGATGTTTCGGGGGTCCGTGTTTGCTCTATTCTTATTTCGTATTGTTTTATGGACTTTGAGATTGAATGCTGTTCGTTATCTCCATATCCCTCTTCTTGATTAGACGAGATAGAAGTTGGCGTTTCTCGATAAAACCAGAAAGTTATATTGACTGTACCTGATATTGGATGTTGACAAAAATATATGGATGTTAAGATGGTATATTAAGATGGTAAATTTATGTATGCTGGCATATTTATGCAATCCACATAGCTTTTTGTTACCATAGCTTAATCATGCCAAGTCAAGATAACTATCCCCTCAAGTCATGTTAACTTCCCGATTTGTCGACATGCACCAACTTTATATCTTTGACAGTCAAAATAAGATAACACATTTGTTGCAAAAGCTACCTTAACATGACGAGATAACTTATCTTGCATCATGAATAAGATAGCTATCGCAAAAATATCGAATCAACTGAGATGTATACATTCCGTATGCAAGTGATGAAGGTATATTGCTGATCAAGTAAGGAAAGTTGAGGATGCAAAAGTTAAAGTCATCACGTTAATCATAGAACTTGGTTGTTAGATTACCATCAGCGTCTTTTTCAAGTAAAATATCCAAGTATGAAACAGAAGGTTCAGACTCTGTGGTATCTTTTATCTTTTATTAAAATCCAGGCCTTTTGATATCATTGACAGCTGCTTCTTCAATAAAAATGGAACTAGTAAATTTACTTACCTCGTCATTGGTCATTTGCAAAATTATTTTGTTAAAACAGATTCTGATTGACACATAAGTACTCTGCGCCGTAAATTGCACCTTTTTGCATTACAGGATCTGTTGCGTTATGGTCAAAGACAAATATATAAAACCATAACGCTACAGATCTGCAGCTAATGAGGATAATTATGTAGAATAAGTGTTTTTGTGCCTCTTTAAAGGTCTCTAATAAGACGTCGCGTTCTAATAAGACGGCCCCGTGGGGATCCGGGTTAGAATAGGTCCTCAGTACCCCCTTGCTTGTCGTAAAAGGCGACTAAATGGGGCGGTCCTTCGGATGAGACCGTATAAACCGAGGCCCCGTGTCACAGCAGGTGTGGCACGATAAAGATCCCTCCCTGCTCAAAGGCCCTGAGTGCCGAGCATAGGCCTAAATTTGCAGCCCTTCACCGGCAATGGTGACGTCTCCATATCAGTGAAATATTCTGGAGAGGGACGTTAAACAGTATACAATCAATCAATCAATCTAATAAGACGTTAGAAAGACATTCTGATTTGAAAGGATATTCACAAGTTAAGAATTGCCTACGTATGATGACTTATGGCAGATAAACCTCTTTGACACCGCCGTTCTATGACAATTAATTAATCAAAAATGAACGACATTGTTTCAGATGTTGGTAGGTAAGCACGTTGTTTACTTTAAAGGGCTAACATTTTGGTTTCATAAAATTACATCAGGTTTCAATATCAAAGTCAAAATGTCATACGTATTGCGTAAATGTGGATAAAATATTAAAACTATGTCTCTTCTGAAAAAATCAAAAATGTTCAATATTTCAATAGCTCTAGGTCAAAGTCAAGAAAACATATGTCATATTTCTTTCATAAAGGTGTACATGTAATGTACTTGTACTTTTAAAATACAAAAAACCCATCTTTTAACCATCTCTTCCGATTCAAACGTTAAAACAGTCTCCCGGTGCATATTTGCCAAGCCAAATCCATCCAGTGTTTTAAAAGAAAATTGAAAACTCATTTTTATAAATCAGCATTTGATTAACTTTTTAGATTGATCTATCTATTGAATTTTTATTTGTTTTTCTTAACCATTATATTTTTAAGTCCTTGTGACTGTATTTTTATTTTTATTCTATATCAAAACAAGACATTTTCAATATAAGTCAAATTTTTATTTTTAAAGTAAAATATGCAATGTTCTATGTACATTCTATGTAAAGCGCATTAGGTCGATATTTTTTATTATATAGGGCCCTATAGAAATTTATATTATTATTATTTTTATTTATTATTAATATAGTGTTAACAAATGTGAAAGCGGCTGTCAATTAATGAAACAAAATTGTTTTTTCAAAGTAAAAATACAACAATTTTGCTGTTAAATAGTTTGATTCGATGTTATACACAATATAATAATTTTCATACGAGAGTACCCTATAATTTATAGTAGTTTACGAAAATTTTCGGTTAGGGCACATGTAATCCGATCTTCCATATCTCTTACTTAATAATTATTGTCCATTTTTGTACATAAACATCATCTTCTCTTTAGTTAATGTTGGAATTGCCTGTTTCTGTAGAAATGAAAATATCAATATGAAGTAAATGCAGTAAAACCGCTATTAAATGTCTAGTTAGCATTACCTCGATCATTCCAAAGTTTATTAAATATATATGGAATAGAATACGTAAAATATATAAAAGTTCATAAAATATGTAATAACTTCATTACACTCTTTTTAATTTTTTGTCTGGAAAAGCCAGTCTTTATATTTGAAATAATAGCTCAAAGTTTTATCGATAATGCTAAGATTTCATAAAAACTTTGATGTTAAATTTCGCTCGAATATCTGATTTGCTCAGAAAGAAAGTTGTTTTACCCTGTCAGGAAAAGCATTGCAAAGTAAGGTCCATTGAATTGAAGACTTCTGTTGTATTCTGTGTTATCTGGATTTCTGGAGTGAAAAATGATTTAAAATTAAAGACACTTGCAAAATACTCAATGTACTAGTATTTAAAGTCAAACCAGTGCCTCTTGATAAAAATATTTTTTACAACAGTTTCATCAAATATTACAAATTATGGAAAAGATCTCAGTGCTCGTCTATTCATCATCTGGAAGATCTATGGTCGATACAAAGACCATGTCATCAATTGTTAAGACAAATACTGACTGACGTTTTTGTCCATACTGTATTAGTTAAGGTTTTTAAATGTTTTGACTTTTGACATGACCCCTTTGTTTTGATTGCATATAAATTAATGACACTGTTAATTGTATTTCTAGACAAGAGGCCCACGGGCCTTATAGGTCATCTGAGTATCATGTAACAACTTTCCAGAGATCGTATTTGGTTCGTGTTTTAATCCAAAAGCCATGAAATTCACAAATTTTGAAAGAGGCACCATTGCTTTTCAGAGGGCAGATTTCAAAGCATTGATTTATTTTTAGTCAAAGTACCCCCATGGTACCCCTGACCCAGTGGCCCTGAATTTATTTATTTTGACAGAGGCCCCTCTCTTCATTATAAGGCCAGCATTTTGTTTTTATGTTTAGGTTTAGTTATGAACATGAGAATAAAAAAGTCCCGAAGGAAAAGGAAATAAAAAAAAATGATAAATCAATTGTACATTCTTTTTTACGCTATTCTAATAGGCTCCTTACCACTGGACACATAATGCTTACAAATAGGAAAGTAGAATATTTAATTGCTTGTTTCGTCATCTGCCAGTTTGTGCCAGTTATATAAATTTTGTGATGTTGGTCAATATATATTTTAAAAAATCAATTCTTTAAAAGTCTTTCAATATATCTTCATTTTTTTAGTATGTGTTAGGTGAATGTGTAGACATTGTTCTAAAATTTACTTGATGCCTAAAATTATGATTCCTATCATAAAACAGACAGGGAGTATTGGGGAGTACGGTGAATATTTTTTCCATTAAGTGTAAAATAATTTCTCTGGCTGATACAAATGATACTACATGCCTGTATATATTTGTATATTCTTGCCTTTTAATAGATGAATATTTTTTTTTATTTCTTCAGGTTATTGTTCATTTCTTCTGACTTCAAATGGACTTAACTTCTCCCATAGTTTTATTCATTCCATCTGATGCATAAGCAACCCTTATCTAAAGAATGATGCTTAGACTGTAAGCTATAACAGAGACCTAAACAATGTCGCTGGCAATATGCAATAGCTACCACGGGCAGTTTAAAACCTGGGGGAGGAAAATAATTTACAGACAGAAACTTTTGAAACGAATACATAATTATCTCACTAGCATGTCATTGTGCAACAAAGTCGTCAGCATTTTATTTGTCCTTTGAACGGGTGAAACGTTTTGAATGGCACTCGTATCGATGTATTTTACACCAAACCAAGCTATCTTCTCAGATGTAGCTTTATTTAACAGCCGTTTCATCTTAAAACCGGAAGTGCGAGCTCGTAAATTTGAAATCTCGATCCCGACTCATATTTGACATCGGAAAGAAAAAAATTGTTTTATTTTTTTCTGAAAATTAAAAACCTTGAGCGGAGGCTTTGTACAACTGAAAATAAAATAAATCCTGGCCTTAAATATGTAATTAGATCATTAGCATATTAACCAGGAGCAAAGGATAAGATGTTCACAGAATTCATGCAATTCACTATATAATCATTAGAGCCCCACCCTTAAACAAGAACCCCTGACCCTGGGGCCATAAAATTCACAATTTTGGTAGAGGCACTCTTGCTCATCATAACTATGTACTTAGTTAGTTTATTTAATACCCAGGAGCAGAGAAGAAGATTTTCAAAGAAATAATGTATTTTCACTATATAATTACTAGAGCTCCACCCTAACACCAGAACCCCTGACCCTGGGGCCATAAAATTCACAATTTTGGTAGAGGCACCCTTGCTCATCATAACTATGTACTTTGTTGGTTTATTTAATACCCAGGAGCAGAGAAGAAGATTTTCAAAGAAATAATGCATTTTCACTACCTACTTATTTAGCCCCGCCCTGGCACTAGAACCCCTGACCCCAGGGCCATGAATTTCACAATTTTGGTAGAGAACTCATTGCTGATTACAATCATGCAAACAGTTCGATTGCTTGATGTCCAGGAGTAAAGAAGAAGATTTTTAAAGATTGCATTTATTTTAGTGGTTTTGGCCCCACCCCTCAGGCCCCAGGGGGGCAGGGATCATGAAATTCACAATTTTTGTTCCTCTTCACCCATAGATGCTTTATGCCAAATTTGGTTGAAATTGGTTCAGTGGTTACAGAGAAGAAGTTGAAAATGTTCAAATGTTAACGCACGACGCACGACGAACGACGACGGACGAAAACGGATAGCAATAGGTCACCTGAGTTTACTCAGGTGACCTATTAAAAAGCAACCATGTATATTTTTCCCTTATCAAGACAAGTCATATTCCTGTGTATCATTATGCTTGAGCGATTATATCTTTTGAAACTTCGAAATGACATGTGCCATGTGGTGATCTCTTTTCGTCTTTTAACATGCATGATGTAAAATACTTTAAATCACTTATAAATGTATGTTGTCTAGTCTTATGGAAAGAAGAAATGTCTATACTACATGTATTTTGAAATTTTATCGTTTTTACAATTGTAAATTGGTTTATTTGACTGCAACTTGTCTTACTGTATGGTCTCTACGGTCTTGTTTAAATATTTTCCATCTTTGCATTGCATTATGGTATACGTCCGTTTATTTTACCAGGAGTAAAAATGAACAGTTATAAGGTAACCGTGTGCTCTTTGTCATGATCAGGAAATAGCGGAAAAAATCCGTCGTCAATTTAGTGTATAAATAATGGACTAACAATTGGTATGAAAAATGTCAGTCAGCATTTGACTCAATAATAAATTGTATTTGCTGACACGGTCATTGTAGCGACCACAGAACTTACGAAATGATGACTTGAAGCCAGACTGCATGCTCTTGCGTATCGAATCAATGAGATATATATACTCCGTATGCAGGTGATGAAGCAGCATAAATAAGGGAAGTTGACGATAGAAAAGTTAAAGTCATCACGTTTATCCTATAGCTTGGTTGTTAGATTACCATTAGTGTCATTTTCAAGTAAAATATCCAAGTATGAAACAGAAGTGTCCTTTATTTCAAGCTCACCAGGATATATCGTATCGAGGTAGGAATGTAAATTAACATTATTAATTGACAATACGTCGTCGATATATCTAAATGTCGAGTTGAAGGCCACATCAAGTATTTTCTTTTTTCACGCATAAGATATTAAATAAATTCTGCTTCATATGAATATAAAAATAAGTCTGCTAATAACGGAGCGCAATCTGTACCCATGGGAATTCCAATATATTGTTGGAAGACCTGGTCTCCAAAAACCACATAGATATTGTCAATTAGAAACTGAAGCATTTTCTTAATGTCAACTCCAGAGTACTTATGTGTGCAATCAAAATCTGATTTAACAAAATAATTTTGCAAATGATCAATGATGAGGTAAGTAAATTTAAGAATTCCATTTTTATTGAAGAAGCAGCTGTCAATGATATCAAAAAGCCTGGAATTTAATTTGTCCCGGGGAATTGTTGTGTATAAAGTTGAAAAGTCGTAAGTTTTTAAGCTGTTAATTTTTGTAAAGTCTTGTCATATCAAATTGTCCAAAAGTCTTTAGAATTTTAGACTCATTTATTATTCTATCATACCAAAGGGTGGTTAAAAGGCCTCGATATGTTTTATTTGAAATATTCTTGTTGATTTGCAGATTCAATAACTTTATATAACTTAAATTTTGTATTAGAGAATGTCCTCTAAAAAGGGAGTTATGTCCCTTTTTCTTCTAGAACCACTAAACCGTAACATTTTCTTGGTGTCAGAATTGGGATAGCCATTGAACGCTATCCTGTTACATTTTCTTGCTGTCAGAAGTCGCATAGCCATTGAGCTCTAACCCGTAACAATGCTAATTGTTAGATCCTTATTTACACACTGAATTGAGCAGGGGATGTTCACTCCTCCATGCCACCTCTGAGGATTTCAAGGTCTGTTTTTGCTCTGTTTTTAATTTGTATCGTTTATGGACTTTTGTTAAAGTTCGTTATCTCCATAGATTTGATAGTGAAATTTTAAGTCCTCTAGATAACAGTACGTCAAGCAAGTGTCTTTCAAAGCTCCACCATCTCTGTGTTTCATGTGAAATTCAAAATTTTTGGTTTCCTTTGACCCATAGAAGCTATATGCCATTTTTTAAAAATGGTTCAGCGGTTTCAGAGAAGAAGTGAAAATGTTAAAATGTTAACGCACGGATGAAAACGGATAGCAATAGGTCACCTGAGTTTACTCGTTTACTCAGGTGACCGAAAAATTAGTTAAATCTTGAAACTTGCCTTCACCTATAAAATGGTTTACAGAGTAATGTGCAAATATAACTTTTATAAAAGCTACACAAACTCACGTTCCACTCTCTTCCACAGTAAGAGCACACTGTGCATTGTTGAAGAAATTTACATTCCATGTCTCTCTGCAAACAATAAGAATAACAAATAAATCTTACGAAACATAAATCTTCTAAACTTCTTTTGTGTCAAAACATTTGTAAAATAAAATCAAAAAAGGGTCATCAGTGTGAATAATCCATGGAAATGAGGAATCTTAATGAAGCTTAAAACCCATTAAAGCATTATAAATCAAGAGCAGAGGAAACACGGACTTTTAAAACACCAGAGGTGGGATCAGGTGCCATGGAGGAGTGATCAACCCATGCCAACCGTTCACAAATGCGCGTCTTCCTTGTATTGATCAAGAAAACGGAAAAATCTGTAGATTTCAATGTGTAAATAGCCTTATAATTAGTATAAAAGCGTCAGTAGGTATTCTCTTTAGTGATATTGTTTTGTAGACAAGATAATTCTATTAGGATTTTAAAAATAAAGACTTTAAAGAAAACTGTTGATATTATTGATTCATCAACATGCTTGTCGATAGCATTGTTACAACCACAATTGAAATAACGACCACTATTGAAATAATTATTTCAATAGGTGTTGAGAGTGCATTTCAAATGCAAACATAGGTTGCAACCACTATTAAAATAATGTTCACTTTTGAAATAAAGATTTTCAATATGGATTAAAATATTGATTTCAATGGTGCTTTAAACAATGATTCCAATATATATTAAAATCATTATTTTAACAGTTGCTGACAATGATTTGAATACCAAAACCACATTGCAAGCTTTATAGAAATATCCCAACTATCAAAACAAATATTAGGCTGAATTACACATTCTGTTTTCAGACACAATAAACTAATCTACTGAGTTTAAAATATGATAACTTAGTTGTTTTATGTTTCTTTTTTTGTAGAAATTACATGGACACTTTTTTTTTATTAAACCAACCTACCTTTAATTCAAACATGTATACAAGTGTTTTAAACAAGCTTCCCGTGAATCTTACCGACTTCGCGAAAACGAACAGACAAATCAAGAAAGATCCACAAGACACAAAATATAAAAAAATTGAAATTTTAGTACATTATTTCAATAGTGGTCGTATTTCATAAGTGGTTGTAACCTATGGTTGCTATTGAAATAGACTCTCAACCACTATATAAACAATTATTTAAACAGTGGTCGTGTTTCAGTAGTGGTTTCAACCTTTGGTTGTTATTGAAATGGACTCTCAACCACTATCGAAATACACTGTAATTATTTCAACAGTGGTCGTATTTCATTAGTGGTTTCAACCTATGATTGTTATTGAAATGCACTCTCAACCACTATTGAAATAATTATTTATATTAATTTATATTAAAATAAATATTTCAATAGCGGACGTTATTTCAATAGTAGATCCAAGATAGCATGCCTCATTTAAGAATATATCGGTACGTAGAGTATCTTTTTGCTTATCCTCTGTGTGGCAGACTCATATTTTTATTTATTATGCACATGCACATAGCATAATGTATATTGCATATGCATTTATTCATTGATTATTTTAGCTGAGTCAAATAATTATTCTTGTAATCTGTAGTTAAGTGTACTGATCTTAAATTGTGTTTCCTGACAGTCCCAATGATCTTCAAGTATCTTTAAAATTCATTGTTTTATTTTTGTTTGTCTAAAGCTTTTGGATTTGATCTTGTTTTTCCCTCCATTTTCTTAATGATTTTGGTAAATTATTTCTCTTATTTTTCTTATTATATAAACTCTAAAGGTTAATATATCATTCTGATTCTATTAAATGTCTATTAAATGTTAAATCTGCAATTTTGCACTAAATTTCCTCAGTCACTTTCTTGAAGTAAATGAAAGTGAAAGTGACACTGTATAAATAAAGTTATGTGTAAATAAACGAACAGTATTTATTTCAACAAGGATTAATTCACGCAAGTATTTAAATCAGTCTGATTGATTTGGCGTGTGTGAATTATTCCATTAACATCACAAAATGTCCAGTTGGAATTCTGCTGTCAGTACAGTATTTAATACGAAAATCTACAAACAATACAAAATAGGAGGAGAGCAAACACAGACCTCCAAAATATCAGAATTGGGATCAGGTGCCATGGAGGAATGAGCATATGACTGTCGGCCGGTTTGATGGATGGATGTATGTTTCACTTATATTACATACTTAGTAGTGTATCAGCCATGATACAGAGTTTTGGACCAGGCAAGACAACATTTGGGAAGTAGGGCCGTCTCGACCTCAGGGTTGAGATATCTCTGTCTCAGCCCGTTGTCAAGGGGCTATTTCACTCTCAAATTTCAATCCATTATTTCTATTTTTGTGTAAATTAAGAATAGAATTTATATAAAAGTGTTAAAGAAAAATTTTTTTCTACACGAACAATAAATTTGATACTTTAAAAATTATTTGTTTATGCTAGAATATTGAAAAATAAAATAGTTTTTAAAAATACGCCAATTAAATGATGGTATTTGTGATGTAAGAAAGGTAATAATTGTTTACGACGACCATCAGTACATCGTGTTGTGAAAAGAAATTGACGCTTCTTTGTTCTGACAGAAAGACAATACAAAGAGTTTTTAAAATGTGCTATATGTTTTAAACATATCGTCTGCAAAACAAACAGTTATTATTAATCCAAGAGGTATAATTTGCAACGATTGGATAAAGAAGTTGTAACCCTGTTTGATCCAAAATAAAAGTAGAGAATTTTAAAGTTTAAGGCATTTAAAATATTTGTGATTAAATTTATTTTGAAACGTCATATTTAAAAACTAGAAATATGTCCATAGGACATGAATACCTCACCCAGGGTATATTAGTAAATCAACATTGAAAATTTGTATTAGTGTATGAAATTTGATCAGAATACCTTTAAAAGTGATGCTGTTGAACTGCTTACATTAGTATGTATCAGCATATGAAGTTTGACACTAATTTCATAAAAGTTGGGTCAAGGTCAAAGGAAAGGTCAAGGTCAAAATGTTGATGCAGTTGCATATCTCTAATCAATATGTATCAACATATGAAGTATGATAAAAATATCTAAAATGATGTCTTCATTTAAAACAGACTTAAACACAACTTGATAAAAGTGAGGTCAAGGTTAAATACGCAGTTATGATAAGGCTGTCCGAAGGCTAAAAATGTCTTTAAAATATATTTTTTATTCTGAGCTAGATTTTAATTTCAATATGTGATCCTTGTTTGAAATTGCAGTCAACTTGAAATAACAGTTTAATCAGTATTCTGTGATGTCAGATGACTGTGTTGATCACGTGACGGATATTTTTGATATTCTTAAATGTTGCACAAAACTCGCTTCGGCACAAGTGCAAAACAAAATTATTGTGCAAAGTGTGTTACATAGAACGATTCATCGTGATCCCTGGTACATAAAAAGTGCTGGGGGAGGTTTAATTTTTACTTCTTAAGAAAATATTTTACGATAAATCAAAATTACAACTGTAAGAAGGGGTATTTTCCACTTTTATCGCGATTAATACAAAAACGGATAAACTACATACGATCCCCCCAGCAAAATTCAAATAGAAGACATACTTCTCTTAAAGATTCCCGCAGTACATGTATATCTTCAATTTATCCTTGTCTTTCAATTGTGCCAGTCCAATATAAACACGATTCATAAAATCTAACTCTGTCTACGGAAGTGTAAGGGGAGCTTTTCAAACATAATCTTTTGCTATTGCTTGAATATGTGCATATCGGACAAGCAAAAGGATTGGAGAAATTTAAATATCAAATGTTAAACATTATAACAGCACACACGAGCTTAAAAACAACCCTTACTCTTGAATTAAACACAAGTCCCCATAATAAATCTACATGCCGTGAATTAATTATGACACTTTCCCCGTCATGTCAGCTCAGGTATGCAGTGACTTGACGTCATATTCTATTATGACGTCATATCTAGGTAGTTCAGAGAAGTTACTACAGTTTGAACAGTTTGATATTTTATGGGCAGCCTTATCCTAGCTGCGTAAAAGGTCAAGGTCAAAAATGCTGATGCAGTTGAATTGCTTACATCAGTATGTATTACCATATGAAGTTTGACACTAATTTCGAAATGTGAGGTCAAAGAACGGGTCAATGTCAAAACATTCAACTGCATCAACATTTTTGACCACGACCTTTCCTTTTTTCATTTATACAAAATTTTATTTACATAAAGTGAATGGAATCGGGAAGCAGGCAAAGCCTAATTTAGCCCTCTCTCTTTCCTTTGACCTTGACCTCACTTTTCTTACGTGAGTGTTAAGCTTAGTTTTAAAGGTACCATTCAAAAAAGTGTTATCAATCTTCATATGGTGATACATACTGATGAGAGCCACTCAACTGCATCAACATTTTTTGACCCGACCTTTATTTTGACATTGTCCTCACTTTTCATAAATGAGTATTTAGCTCGGTTTTAAAGATACCATTCAAATGGTGTTATCAGATTTCATATGGTGGTACATACTGGTGAGACCTATTCAACTGCATCAACTTTTGTCCTTGACCTTGCCTTTGACCTTGACCTCATTTTTCCTAAATTAGTGTCAAACTTCATATGCCGATGCATACCGATGAGAGCATTTCAACTGCATCAACATTTTTTTTTATCTTGGCCTTACCTTTGACCATTACCTCACTTTTCTCAAATTAGTGTAAAACTTCATATGCTAATGCATTCTCATGTAAGCAATTCAACTGCATCACTCTTCAAGGTATTCTAAAATTTCATACACAAATTCGAATTTTCATGTTGCATTACTGATATACCTTCGGAGGGACATTCATGTCCTATGGACATATTTCTAGTTTTTCTTAAGAAAAAAATTAATTAAAATACTGTCATATGTATCTGTCCTTTATGTGATATAATGATATAAACATACATGATATAAGCAACAACATATACTGTTTTGATCTCGTCCTTGATATAAGCCCTTGGATGGTCTCTGCCCGCGTCCTCCGGATTTGGGCCGATACCAACCGCACGGGCTGACACCAGGATCTAGATCAAAACAGCAGT